GGCTAAGTTCGTAGTTACAGGGATCTTCGAGAAGGCTACGTTCGTAATTACAGGAATCTCCGAGATGGCTACGTTCGTAATTAGGAGGGATCTCTGAGATGGCTACGTTCGAATAAAGGGATCTCTCAGATGGCTACGTTCGAATTAGTAGGGATCTCTCAGATGGCTACGTTCGAAATAGCAGAGATCTCTGAGATGGGTATGTTCGTAATTACAGGGATCTCTGAGATGGCTATGTTCGAATTAACAGGGATCTCTCAGATGGCTACGTTCGAATTAGCAGGGATCTTTTAGATGACTACGTTCGTAATTACAGGGATCTCTCAGAGGGCTACTTTCGTATGTACAGGGATCTCTGAGATGGCTACGTTCGTAATTACAGGGATCTTACAGGGATCTCTTAGATGGGTACGTTCGTAATTACAGGGATTTCCGAGATGGCAACGTTCGTAATTACAGGGATCTCTGAAATGGTTACGTTCGTAATTACAGGAATCATACAGGGATCTCTGAGATTGCTACGTTCGAATTAGGAGGGATCTCTTAGATGACTACGTTCTTAATTACAGGGATGTCTGAGAGGGCAACTTTCGTAATTACAGGGATATATCTCTGAGATGGCTACGTTCGTAATTAACAGGGATCTCTCAGATGGCTACGTTCGAATTAGCAGGGATCTCTCAGATGGCTACGTTCGAAATAGCAGAGATCTCTGAGATGGGTATGTTCGTAATTACAGGGATCTCTGAGATGGCTATGTTCGAATTAACAGGGATCTCTCAGATGGCTACGTTCGAATTAGCAGGGATCTCTTAGGTGACTACGTCCGTAATTACAGGGATCTCTCAGAGGGCTACTTTCGTATTTACAGGGATCTCTGAGATGGCTACGTTCGTAATTACAGGGATCTTACGGGGATCTCTGAGATGGGTACGTTCGTAATTACAGGGATTTCCGAGATGGCAACGTTCGTAATTACAGGGATCTCTTAGAGGACTACGTTCTTAATTACAGGGATCTCTCGATAACTTCTTTCGCATTAACCGGTTCTGTCTAGAAATCTGTTTCCATTTGAACGTTATATTACAGTCCAGGTGAAGATGTTTTCCTGGGGAACGGCACTATCTATATTTATAGGACTGGTCGAGAACAATCAGACCAGACCTTCTACGAATTAAATGTTTTTATCGAAGCCTCTCATCGGGTGTCACGATGCATATCGATTTCTTGGTCTGGTATACTCACACGCAAAAGCAACACAAGTCTAGTATAAAGTATACATGTATGCAATTCTCAACATTAAATACAAGAAATACCAACAGGGTCAGGTATACACAAATGTGAACGAAGACTGATGACATTAAGTATTCCAAAGGTAAAGGGGTTACACACTTTCTGGCCAGCCATGTCAGTCCATACCTAGTGTGACCGCCATTAGCATTGATCACGGCCCCACATCTCCTGTACATTGAGTGGATCAGACGATTTGTAAAGGCCCTAAGGATACTTCTGCCCAAACCCCGAGCAGCTGTGCGAAGTTCATCGGCAGTTGTGGAGACTGGATCGTACATTGTGCAGACTCCATTTAACCTCATCCCACAAGTGTTATTCAGATCAGGACTGGGGGCTGGCCACGGTAGAACACAGATGTTGTATTGTTGGAGAATGGCCATGGTAGCTCTGGCCACGGTAGAACACAGATGTTGTATTGTTGGAGAATGGCCATGGTAGCTCTGGCCACGGTAGAACACAGATGTTGTATTGTTGGAGAATGACCATGGTAGCTCTGGCCACGGTAGAACACAGATGTTGTATTGTTGGAGAATAGCCATGGTAGCTCTGGCCACGGTAGAACACAGTTGTTGTATTGTTGGAGAATGGCCATGGTAGCTCTGGCCACGGTAGAACACAGTTGTTGTACTGTTGGAGAATGACCATGGTAGCTCTGGCCACGGTAGAACACAGATGTTGTATTGTTGGAGAATGGCCATGGTAGCTCTGGCCACGGTAGAACACAGTTGTTGTATTGTTGGAGAATGGCCATGGTAGCTCTGGCGACATGGAGACAAGTGTTATCCTGCTGGAAAATGTGTTGACGACGTTGTTTGAAAAATGGAACAACGTGGGGTCTGGTCATTTGGTCGATATAACGCTGAGCAGTGACGCCGTGTCCCCAACCTTGACCAACATTCTGGAAGCACGTGGGTCCAAGTCTCGCACTAAATCCAATCCCGTACCAGTTGTAGATCCAAAACGTTTCTGTCAGCGAGACGATCACCTCGACGCCGCAACATTCTGACTCTTCTGTCTGCATGGGACACACAAAATCGACTCTCATCAAAGAAGATGACACGTCTCCACTCACGATGACGCCACTGATGATGACTCTGTGCCCACTGAAATCGTGCACGACGTTACCGTGGTTGGGGAACAGGACGACGCTCTGGTCGGCGACGTCTGAGATTGTTGGAACGGAGGCGTCGGATCACAGTGTCCCAGCTAAGGCGTTGAGGTGTTCCTATAGTGCCAGTATCTTGAACAGTTTGATTTGCAGACAAGAACAGATCTCGCTGGTGTTGGTGGGTAATGTGCCGATCTTGCCGAGGTGACCCTAGGACGACCGCTACGAGGAAGGTCATCTGTGGTCTGTTGCGTTGTATCGAAGATGGAGGCGGTAAATCGTGGTTATGTTTACGTTGAAATGACGGCAACATCTGAAACGTCTGATTGTCTGGTTTCTCTCAATTTGAGCTACGCGTGGCATCATTGAACAAAGAGTGATAGGCTCAGTGTTTGTGCACACTAATTATGGTGACAATTCGTGCATGTTCGATTTCACGAGAAATGTGTGCATGCTACCCACATGTTTATTGGTTTTGGTGATTCCTTCTGTTGATGTGTTTTTACCCGGGCCTTCCAAAATGCAACACAAATTACTGATAACACCATCAGGCTTCACTATATACCATGACTATCTTTCAACTAAGGACTCCGTCATAAAGTTGAACACTGTTTAGAAGCTGCCGAAATATAGTTGAACACTGTTTACAAGCCATCGTCATATAACTGAACACTGTTTACAACCCGTTGCCTTATAGTTGAACACTGTTTACAAGCCGTTGTCTTATAGTTGAACACTGTTTACAATCCAAAGTCATACAGTTGAACTCTGTTTACAAACTGCTGTGATATAGTTGAACACTGTTTACTATCCAACGTAATATAGTAGAACACTGTTTACAAGCCGTTGCCCTATAGTTGAACACTGTTTACAATCCAACGTCATATAGATGAACACTGTTTACAATTCACCGTCATATAGTTGAACATTGTTTACAAGCCATTGCCTTATAGTTGAACACTGTTTACAATCCACCGTCATATCGTTGAACACTGTTTACAAGCTGCTGTCATATAGTTGAGCACTGTTTACAAACTGCTGTCATATAGTTAGACACTGTTTACAAGTCTCTGTCAAATAGTTAGACACTGTTTACAAACTGCTATCATATAGTTGAACACTGTTAACAAACTTCTGTGATATAGTTGAAAACTGCTTACAAACTTCTGTGATATAGTTGAACCCTGTTTACAAACTTCTGTGATATAGTTGAACACTGTTTACAAACTGCTGTGATATAGTTGAACATTGTTTACAAACTGCTGTCATATAGTTGAACACTGTTTACAAACCACTGTCATATAACTGAACACTGTTTACAAACTGCCGTGATATAGTTTAACACCGTTTACAAGTCGCTGTCATAAAGTTGAACACTGTTTACAAGTCGTTGTCATATAGTTGAACACTGTTCACAAATCGTTGTCTTATAGTTGAACACTGTTCACAAGTCGTTGTCATATAGTTAAACACTGTTTACAAGTCGTTGTCATTTAGTTGAACACTGTTCACAAGTCGTTGTCATGTAGTTAAACACTGTTTACAAGTCGTTGTCATATAGTTGAACACTGTTTACAAGTCGTTGTCATATAGTTAAACACTGTTTACAAGTCGTTGTCATATAGTTGAACACTGTTTATAAGTCGTTGTCATATAGTTAAACACTGTTTACAAGTCGTTGTCATATAGTTAAACACTGTTTACAAGTCGTTGTCATATAGTTGAACACTGTTCACAAGTCGTTGTCATATATACATATATACACATACACTGCGGAGTGAGAGTTAACAAAGAGATGTCCAGTGTATGAGGTGACACACTTGTGAGTATTTAGATGACTGAATGATGACCAACTAGGTATAAAGCGTACTGAAAACCCTTATATACCGGACTGACGTTGTAACCGGTTGTGTGGTTATAGGCTACCAGACATATTCCAGCACTGTCATGGTGGGATACCGGAAATGGGCTTCAGCACAGCACTGATGTGTGACGAGCGAACGTTGTAACCAATGGCTACACCTCACTCCACTAGTGAGTAGACAGCCACTACAACACATCAAACAATCTGAACATGCTGTTTCGACACTATACATGGATGAATAAAATATTGAAACAATTTTATAGTTGATAACAATAATATTTCTTTGCTGGGGTGAACGTATTTCGGACGAAATGACCCGTTACCCTACAAAAGCATAGACTGTATGTTTCTGCAAAACTATATTTGGATGCAAGAGCATGCCTTATCATCTCACATTACAAGACCAGTTGACATTGTGTTTCATCTGATACTGCCATCGACGCTCTATTGTCTACTGCACTTGTTTGTATTGATTTGTAAATGAAGTTGATTTATAATACAGATGGTAGTTGTGTATGATTACTTTGATTGTTGTTCTCTCACGCTGTATTTGTGCTGAATACATTTCTGATATTGTTTTGATGCTGAAATCAACGATCATGTAACGAGGAGAGACAGCAGGGTGAAGCTCATAACCAGAACGGCGTGCATACATAAAATACGACACTGTCCAGTTTATCCGCCAGTTGAGGAAAGTCGGTGAACTCCTCCGGGTCACGTTCCGAGCCACCATCATCAGCGTCTGTCGTAGTGGCTGGCTGTACAACATTCTTCCTTCCTGTCTTCAGGAGGACATGTGCCAGGATCCGCGTCAGTCTGTTGTGCTTGTCTCTCTGACTTAGCCGTTGTGAAACAATGCAGTACGCCACGATCCCTGAACTGAACAGGAACTGCATGTAGACGATGACTGTGAAGACGGGAATGCCCTGGGACCACTGTGGTAGGAGTGGTGATGAAGATCGTAAAGGACAGGAAGAGGGTGACAGCGGTTGACGTCTTCTCCCCGCTATTGGACTTGACCAGGATCACACAAGGATTGGCGCCAGCAATAATAAACAGGGGCAGTATCAGACTGAAGATATAGTAACCTCCATGACGTCGCAGGGTCATCGATACAGTCACTCCACTCTTGGGTCTGTGTTCGCCAAGGGTTACTCTCTTGGCGGAGGATGTTGTCAACATCCACTCACCTGTCTTGATGGCTTTCTCGTCGGTGAAGGTCACGTCACTGATGTTGACGTCAACTTCTCCATGATAGGCGGTGGTTAGAGTGACCGAACACGTGTGTATATCAAACGGAAACCTCGCTAGTGAAACCGGACATGGTGTTCTTGTTTCCAGATCAACATACCACTCGACCATGCCATCAGGATAAACCTGCAAAAGAAAAGACCGGAATATTCTATGATTATCTTCATTCTTTCATTGATCCACGAAGGAATGCACAAATGAGAGTAATGTTTAGATGAAAGGTTGGATGGATGTTTGCGTGGATGAAAAGTTGGGTGTGTGTTTGTGTGGATGAAAGGTTGGGTGTGTGTGTTGGTATGTGTGCGTGCGTGAATGTGCATGCATGCACATTGCGTGCGTGTGGGGGTATGAATGTATATTCGGCGTGGGGTGATTTTTGTTTGCGTGGTTAATTGGTGGGTTATCTCACTAAAACCTGAATGCGACGTGTGTCCAGGGCGAGGCAACACTTCAACCATTAGGCTCCTCGAACTCCCCTTACAGAGCCTATAATGGGCAACCTACCTGTAGAGTGTTGTCAGCGTCGTCGAAGATGTCCCTGTTGCTGTGGGCGTTGAGGACGTGAACATCTGGAACCTATACTTTACGTCTGGGAAAGTCAATCGCTCTTACATCTGTGTACTGATCGGCATTCCATGTCAACCTCTTGTCCGTCCACGTGACCACGAGCTCCAACCACGTGACCAAACTTTCAGCGGCGATGTCAAGGGTGGCGATATTGGATACTGCAATGTCCATGTTGACCAACACTGTCCGTGATGAGTCGTTGACGGGACGGAGGTTTGGTCGGTAGTCGGTAGTCGGTGAGGAGACTGTCGTGGAGGCGTTGCAAATCTGTGTAGTTAGTGCCGTCACAGACAGTGATGGCGTAAAGAAGCCCTAGCAATGGGACCGTCGCACAATGCATTTGAAATGTTTGGTCACAACGGGTAGCGCTTGACCGGCGTAAGTAGTGATCCACTGGACCGTCTTCAGTCTCTGTTACCCGCTTCTGCTTCTGCTGCTGTACAGGTAGAACGTCCAATCTGACCAATCTGCTGAACAGTTTGATTCCGTCAACTCAGTCGGACAAATGCCTATAACCTAACGGACTGTTAGGAACAGTAGTGACAGACGTTTTAACACACGTTCTTGTAAAACAAACATGTCAATTTCAGCAGGACAGGATGTAAGTGCTGTGTTCGTGTAAGCCAGGATGAAATAAAACACGGAAGGAATCCGTGTATATCCGTGTATATCTGTGTTTGTGATGGGTTAGTAGGGTCATGGTATACATTGTGTGCCTGGTTTAATGAGTGGGTGCAGTTGAAGTTCTGTATCGTGTCCCAGCAGCGACACATGGATGACCAGCGAGGTCAGTTCAACCCCATCTGAGAGGAAGATCAACAACTTGATCATCCAAATCTGTGTTCCACAGGAGATATTGCTTGTGTGATATTGCTTCATATGATATCTTCTAGGAGATATCGTTGGTGAGATTCTATATGTACTTCACATGCGCGCCTTGGGCAAAATATGTATAGTTTGTAATTCCCGAAATACTGTAGGAATGTACATAAACAGTCATGCTCACCACCAATAACACACACATTGGCTGAGTGAGTTTAGTTTTACGCCACATTTAGCAATTATTCAGCAATATTACAGTGTGTGTGTGTGTGTGTGTGTGTGTGTGATACCAGAAATGGGTTTCACACATCGTACCCTTGTGGGGAATTGAACCCAGGTCATCGGCGTGACGACCGAACGCTTTAACCACTAGGCTACCCCACCAGCACACTTACCCTGGACCAACATTGGCATCATCGTGGAGAGTCTTGTCGTCGTTAGATCAACAGCCATTACCGGGTAGGGCAGAGGGAACGTCGTTGGCACACTTACCCTGGACCAACATTGGCATCATCGTGGAGAGTCTTGTCGTGGTAAGATCAACAGCCATCACTGGGTAGGGCAGAGGGAACGTCGTTGTAAGCTGGATGGTAGACGGTTGTAGCCTGGGGACTAGGCTTTGTTACCTCTAGGCTTGACCGTTGTAGTTTAGAGGGTAGATTGTGTCAAGGGTGGAGGGGTATCAATAGCGTCAGTATCGATCAGTCAAGGATGGCGGGGTATCAATAGCAGCAATCTCGATCAGTCAAGGATGGTGGGTATCAATAGCGTCAATATCAATCAGTCAAGGATAGTGGGGTATCAATATCGTCAATATCGATCAGTCAAGGATGGCGGGGTATCAATAGCCTTAAGATCGATCTGTCTAGGGTGGCAGGGTATCAATAGCGTCAATATCGATCAGTCTAGGATGGCGGGGTATCATTAGCAGCAATATCAATCAGTCAGTGGTGGTGGTGGGTATCAATAGCGTCAATATCGATCAGTCAAGGATGGTGGAGTATCAATAGCGTCAATATCGATCAGTCAAGGATGACGGGGTATTAATATTGTCAATATCGATCAGTCTTGGATGGTGGGGTATCAATAGTGCCAATATCGATCAGTCAAGGATGGCGGGGTATCATTAGCAGCAACATCAATCAGTCAATGGTGGTGGTGGGTATCAATAGCGTCAATATCGATCAGTCAAGGATGGCGGAGTATCAATAGTCTCAACATCGATCAGTCTAGGGTGGTAGGGTATCAATAGCGTCAATATCGATCAGTCTAGGATGGCGGGGTATCATTAGCAGCAACATCAATCAGTCAATGGTGGTGGTGGGTATCAATAGCGTCAATATCCATCAGTCAAGGATGGCGGGGTATCAATAGCAGCAATATCGATTAGTCAAGGATGGCGGGGTATCAATATTGTCAATATCGATCAGTCTAGGATGGTGGAGTATCAATAGTGTCAATATCGATCAGTCAAGGATGGCGGGGTATCAATAGCCTCAACATGGATCAGTCTAGGGTTGCAGGGTATCAATAACGTCAATATCGATCAGTCCAGGAAGGCAGGGTATCATTAGCAGCAATATCGATCAGCCAAGGATGGCGGGGTATCAATAGCAGCAATATCGATCAGTCAAGGATGGTTAGGTATCAATAGCATCAATATCGATCAGGCAAGGATGGAAAGGGTATCAATATCGTCAATATCGATCAGTCAAGGATGGCGGGGTATCAATAGCGTCAATATCGATCAGTCAAGGATGGTAGGGTATCAATATCGTCAATATCGATCAGTCTAGGATGGCGGGGTATCATTAGCAGCAACATCAATCAGTCAATGGTGGTGGTGGGTATCAATAGCGTCAATATCGATCAGTCAAGGATGGTGGGGTATCAATAGCGTCAATATCGATCAGTCAAGGATGGCGGGGTATCAATAGCACCAATATCGATGAGCCAAGGATGGCGGGGTATCAATAATGCCAATATCGATTAGTCAAGGATGGCGGGATATCATTAGCGTCAATAGCGATCAGTCAAGGATGGCGGGGTATCATTAGCGCAAATATCAATCAGTCAATGGTGGTGGTGGGTATCAATAGCGTCAATATCGATCAGTCAAGGATGTCGGGGTATCATTAGCGCCAATATCGACCAGTCAGTGGTTGTGGTTGGTATCCATAGCGTCAATATCGATAGGTCAAGGATGGCGGGGTATCATTAGCGTCAATATCAATCAGTCAATGGTGGTGTAGGGTATCAATAGCGTCAATATCGATCAGTCAAGGATGGCGGGGTATCATTAGCGTCAATATCGATCAGTCAATGGTGGTGGTGGTTATCAAATATATAGCGTCAATATCGATCAGTCAAGGATGGCGGGGTATCAATCGCAGCAATATCGATCAGTCAAGGATGGCGGGGTATCAGTAGCAGCAATATCGATCAGTCAATGGTGGTGGTGGGTATCAATAGCGTCAATATCGATCAGTCAAGGATGTCGGGGTGTCATAAGCAGCAATATTGATCAGTAATTGAACACCTTACTCAATCACTTATCTCCTCTATCACTAATCTTCTCAATCACTAAACACCTCATTCGCTGATCTCCTCAATCACTGGACGCCTCAATCACTAAGTTCCTCAATCACTGATCTCCTCAATCACTAATCTCCCCAATCACTGATCGACTCAATCACTAAATTCCTCAATCACTGAACTCCTCACCCGCTAAATTCCTCAACATTAAATTCCTCAATCACTGATTTCCTCAATCACTGATCTCCTCAATCACTTATTCCCTCAATCACTAAGCTCCTCAATCACTGATCTCCCCAAACACTCATGTCCTCAATCACTAATCTCCTCAATCTCTAATCTCCTCACAAATAATCTCGTCAATCACTGATCTCCGCAATCACTAATCTCCTCAATGACTGATCTCCTCAATGACTGATCTCCTGAATCACTGATCTCCTCAATCGCTGATCTCATCAATCACTAATCTCCTGAATCACTAAACTCCTCACTGACTAATCTCCTCAATGACTGATCTCCTCAATGACTGATCTCCTCAACGACTTATCTCCTAATTTAACTATCTCCTCAATCAGTTATCTCCTCAATCACTGATCTCCTCAACCACTAATCTCCTGAATCAGTTATCTCCTCAATCACTGATCTCCTCAATCACTGATATCCTCAATCACTGATCTCCTCAATCACTAATCTCCTCAACCACTGATCCCCTCAATCACTAATCTCCTCAATTACTAAACTCCTTAATCAGTAATCTCCTCAATCACTAATCTACCCAACTATCCCGCAGAATGACTGTATTGACACCGGGTGTCTTTACAATGACAGTTTTGGGATAGTTGGAATATCTGCACATCCTACTATGTTTAGATCTATACACATACGCATTACTTCCATGAGCACCGTGTTGCTGTATTGTGCCAGGGCTCACTGTCTGAAACGTGATGGTGTTGTTGGGGATCTCTTCCAGTGTCTACATTGGCCTTACTATTTACCTTCAGTACTTCAAGTTACCTTCAATACTAAACTGTAGTACATAGTAGTGGTATTATCTGCACATGCTGCAATGTTAGATCTATACACACACACATTACGTCAATGAGCCTTGTGTTGCTGTATAGTGTCAGGGCTCACTGCCTTCAGTGTCAGTGTCGTTGTCGTCTCTGTATACTCCGCCTGTATGCATGAGGAGTCGCGGCCGGCTTGTAGATTACGGAAAGGCACGAGTTTCACCGAGTGTTCTTGAAGCGAAACAAGGAAGTAACAGTTCAGGGTAGTGTGTACAGCTGTCTACTGTGTAAATTCGTCTACCACCTGTCTACCACCGTCTATCACCGTCTAACGTTCAGTATTCGTCAGTGTGTTGCTGTTGTGTGGCAACTTTGTGTAGTGTTTTACTGAGTTTGTTTTGTGCAGAGACCCTGTATTAGTGAGACGTCTTGTAACCCACCCGGATATCAGAGGAGAAAATTGACACGGGTAAGTGAGCTTCTCTGTCTGTGCTAGATTATTATATTTCAGCAAGATATATTTTCCGTTACAGCACACACGTCACTTACAAATAGATTATGGTATGATTTCTTTACTATATTCCAATTGGGCATTCAACAACACCGTCCCCGGTATCACCACCAACACAACAAGAGAGACAACATGGTTCTGGTAGAAGACTTTTTAAGGAATGTGTTATTCGAAATTCCCTAATTTCTCTTTCCATGGACATTCTTCTTTTTTTAAGTTCATATTTCTTTCACGTCTAAAGTCTGTTTTATTTTTCCATTCAAAGCCAACGCATCATCTGCCAAAAATACTTCCTCAACCATGTAGGTAATCAGCATTGTCTTGACATCGGCGTTAAGCATAGCTGATTTGGTGTAAAGTTTCGGCCAGTTGGACCAGTTCAGACATTTGGACCACAGAAACCTGTTCGGGAAAAGGTTGTCCAACAAACTCTGCACTAACCATCAGTGATGGCGGTCTTCACACAACATTGTACAGCAAAATGTTTAGCCAATAAATTTTGAACAATGTATTTTAGGCCAATCACAGAATACGCCAACTATTATGAATTTGTATTAATAATTCATATTACAATATATTTTAGGCCACTCACAGAACACATCAACTATTATGAATGTGTATTAATAATTCATATTACAATATATTTTAGGCCACTCACAGAATACGCCAACTATTATGAATGTGTAATAATAATTCATATTAGAATATATTTTAGGCAACTTACAGAACACGCCGACTATTATGAATGTGTAATAATAATTCATATTACAATATATTTTAGGCCACTCACAGAATACGCCAACTATTATGAATGTGTATTAATAATTCATATTACAATATATTTTAGGCCACTCACAGAATACGCCAACTATTATGAATGTGTATTAATACTTCAAATTACAATATATTTTAGGCCACTCACAGAATACGCCAACTATTATGAATGTGTATTAATATTTCAAATTACAATACATTTTAGGCCACTCACAGAATACGCCAACTATTATGAATTTGTAATAATAATTCATATTGCAATATATTTTAGGCCACTCACAGAATACGCCAACTATTATGAATGTGTATTAATAATTCATATAACAATATATTTTAGGCCACTCACACAATACGCCAACTATAATGAATGTGTATTACTAATTCATATTACAATATATTTTAGGCCACTCACAGAATACGCCAACTATTATGAATGTGTATTGATACTTGAAATTACATTGTGTCTGCTTTCCCATACTTTTGTTAAGTTAATTAGTTTTAAAAGGATTTTTCCAACAAAACACTCAGCATCTAAGTTATTTCATAAAACTTAATTTTCCAATAAAATATTTTCCCCGCGTCTACATTTCTTAAATATTTCTTCTGTCTCTTTCTCAAAATGACGATGATTTTCATGGTGTTAAGTTTGCACATGACTAATCAGTTTCTAAATGACATAGATTTCTACAACTGGTGTACTCATTTTCAGAATATCACACTCTGAATGCAGTCTTGAGGTTAAAGTGAAACTAAAACTTTATACATAATTGTATTTTAGATGGGTGAAAATCAAACCGTAGAGTTTATTTCTCATGAAGTTCCCAAAAACATTTAGACGGAAAAGCTAGCATTACATATTTCGCTATCATTTAGATATTTGTTGTTAAACAGATCATCTGATTTCAGGTTAAACTCTCCAAGTCAGGTCAGAACTGAACTATGCTTCTTAACAAACTGATTTCAATAGTTTGAAGTTGCACCCTCCATTGATATTTTGAAAAGAAAATATATTTATTCAACAAAGTAGGTTGCACGCTCTGGCGAGCGGAGGCTTTTTGAAATCCGGGTGCATTATGCGTTGTATACAATTCAGGGTGAGAAGACTACATCGTCAATGCGCGCATCACATCAACCGTGCTTTGTTTTTCGTTTAATTAAAGGTTTCCTGAAAGAGAACCTTGGAACAACCACTGGTTGATTAACCATCCTGACTTGTGACGTCATGCATAAATTTGCTTATTCATCAGTGCATGTTTAATCCTTGCTGTCCCTGCTCATCTAAAGGGGTATCGCTGGACCCGTACAATACCACAATTGTTGTCCACAGTAATGAATAGGATCTCCACAATAGTCGCTGTTAGAAGTGTAATCTTATTTGTAAAAGCGACATATTCAATTTCCATAATCATAATAGACATCTGTCAGACAACACACTGTCAATTTCTCGGGAATGGGTCACACACAAAAGGATATGTCAGGCGTGCTCAAGAGGTCGAGGTCACGCTGCCCTACCTGTTCGACAGACAACAAACCAATTCAATAGCACGGTAATTGTGAAAAAACACCACCACTTGCGTAAATAGAAATCTAGTCAGCACTGGGGTTTAATATCAGTTTATATTGTACACAAACACTGTCAGAAAGTATTGAGGATGTCAAATATATTTCAAAAGTCTAGAACTCAAGAGATGTATCGACAAGCAAACATTTCCAATGCTATTTCATCATATTTGCAATATGTGTAAATACTTCTGTCATGTGCATCACTTTCAAACCTAATTTCAAACACAGTTGAAGCATGGTCGTTTCTCTTTCTATTCATTTCGGGTCTGTATTAGACTGTAACATACATTCAGGCCTGTATTAAACTGTAACATACATTCAGGCCTGTATGAGACTATAGCATACATTCAGGCTGTATTAGACTGTAACATGCAATGTATTTACTCCGTTATGTTCAAGCACCATACTGAATTATAGAAATATGTCATGTTATGACCACACCCTCCACACATCTGGAGAGTACTGGGTGTTATGTGCAGATGCTACTGTGTTTGTCCACATAAAGAAATATCACATCTAAACGCCTTTCAAAGACTTGTAATCTTTAGATTTGTGTACACACCCAGTTACTGTGTTGTGTTGATGTACCGTGTCTGGACTCACTGCATGTCAGTCTCGATGTCGGCTTTGTACACACCCAGTTACTGTGTTGTGTTGATGTACCGTGTCTGGACTCACTGCACGTGATGAACCACATGATCCGAACATGGCTCGATGTCGGCTTGCACACGGTCTTTCTTATTTTAATTCTTAATGAAATTGGGCGAATGTTGCCGAATGCACATTGAGCGTTACTCGAGGAAGCAGAAGGCTGTTGTAGTGTTGCGTCGTGTCGGAGGACCAGCTGTCCACACCACTGTCTCTATACATACCAACACCCGTCTAACTCCGTCTGTCACCCGTCTAACTCCGTCTAATACCCGTCTAACTTCGTCTATCACCCGTCTAACTTCGTCTAACACCCGTCTAACTTCGTCTAACACCCGTCTAACTTCGTCTAACACCCGTCTAACTTCGTTCAGTATCCAGCGGTGTGTTGCTGTTGTGTGACAATGTCAACTTTGTCCGTGTTTTACTGACTTTGTCTTCGCCATTGTACACTTGACCTTTGTGAGTTTGGCGTCCTTGTAACCCACCCAGATATCGGAGGAGAAAACTGACGTGGGTAAGTCAGCTTGCCTGTCTGTGCTAGATAAAAACAATCCAGCATGTTTTGCTTTCCTTACAACAAGTCACTTACAAAAAGATTACAATAAATTATTTATTTACTATATTCCAGTGTCAGTGTGCGTTGTTCCAAGCGTGGACCAAGAGGAGGTAAACGCTTGCCAAATAAATCTGTAATGGAAATAAGCCAACCAACTTTTAACCTCGCCCTTGATGCACAATCTGTCCGAAACAAGTCACTTACATTGCATGACCAAATACCTGAGCACGTTGATGATATTTTTGTGCTGAAAGAGACATGGCTCGAAGATCGTGATCAGTCTGTATTGACTGAAATTCTCCCTGAAGGGTATGACACCTCTCAGGCTAGAAGACTCGTCGGGACTGGAGGAAGTACTGCAGTACTTTTTAGAAGCTGTCTCAAATCTAACCTAACTGACATCAAGTCTAGCAAAACCTTCGATTTTATGCAGTCAACTTTCAATCTGAAGAATGACTTTGTGCGGCGGGTGATATGTATTTATCGCCCTCCAATATCAAGACATCACAAGGTTACATTTGATGACTTTCTCAATGAGTTCTCTGATGTTTTGGATGACAGATCAAGGTCATCTTGTAATTCGCGTTGATGTGTATTCCAACTGCCAAGCACAGCATTTCAAAGAGTTGCTTTCCTTGTACAATCAGAACCCACTCACAGATGTGCTCATACTCTGGACCTCATCATAACCCGTGACCTTGACACGTTCCTCCAAGTCATTGATGTAACTAACAGGTTTATCTCTGATCACTTAACTATAAACTGTCCGCTCAACACCTGTAAACCTGGTCATCTTCTTAGATCTGTCACCTACAGGGAAAACAGGAACCTTGATGTTTCTTAGTTCTCTATGGACATAACGACTAACATTGATTACTGCACTCAGGGTTATGTTAAAGAAAAAGTCTCACGACTTGAAACTTTTCTTACCAACAATTTGTTTGAGTGGCATTCTAGAAGTTGCTGGTATAGAGATGACAGAACTTTATGGAAGAGCAACTTCTTTATGTTAACAATGGGGACGTTTCGGTATACGTTCTTATACCCTTTTAAAGCATATGGGAAATGATGGGGTACACCAGTTTCTACACAAGATAAGATAATGCGGTAACAATAACAAAGGTGGGAAAAAACAAAGCATCAAAGAAAGTGACATGATGAGTTAAATGACATGATGAGCTGAATGACATGATGAGCTAAATGACATGATGAGCTAAATGACAAGATGAGCTAAATGTCATGATGAGCTAAATGACATGATGAGCTGAATGACATGATCATCTAAATGACACGATGAGCTGAATGACATGCTGAACTAAATGACATGCTGAGCTAAATGACATGATGAGCTAAATGACATGATGAGCTAAATGACATGATGAGCTAAATGACATGATGAGCTGAAGACAACAAAATGAGATGAGTGGGATTACCATGACAATAGTGAATGTCAGCTAATTAGGAAGAAGCTAAGGTGACGGGGTGTCTTACCAACAAACTTGACAAACATGGACCTAAGGAAAAACAACTTTTGTTGTCAGGCCAAATACTAAGTGGTACAATGATGATGTCAGGGCAATGAAAACTCATTGTCGTAGAGCGGAAAAAAACCTGGAGGAAAAGCAAACTTGAAGTGCATTGGCAGCTGTATAAACAAGCTCGTAATGAACTGAATTCCTCGCGAGCTTCAGCAAAGGCAGCTTTTGTCCAAAACACTATCATTCATAATTAGCACGACTATAATCTGCTAGTGGTTGACATATCGCCAATGAGACTTTAAACGTAAACTCACTCACTCACACCAGATTTTGTCACTGAAGGAAGGTGCAAACCTGTTGGCAAGTTCAAGTTCATCTGTGAGAGAAGGGAGCTTCTGTTCGTGGTAACCGTTTAATTATATTCAAAAATAGATGCAGAACCCAGTTTAGGTGGCTTTTTGGAAAAAAGATTACACCATTTGGTGTGGTTATTATGAAATCGTCTTATGACAGGAATCTTTTGAGCTTGCATTATTTCTTTTACATTAGGTGCATTAAGACCACCATCATTAGCAGTGCTTATCACTTGGTCACGTTTGACTTTATCGGGTTTGTTTCCCCATATAAATCGGAAGCATTTACTTTGAAAGTCATCAATCATCAGCGAACTGATTTAGTAGATATTTTACATTGCCTACATGAATTCCTTTTATTTCTGCATTAAAACGTATCATTATCGCGAGAATCTCAACTAAAAGTATAAAAAGATATGGTGATAGCGGGTCACCTTGACGACAACCCCTGTATATTTCAAAACTATTTGAACCAAAACCATTTACAAGTACAGTTGATTTTGATATTCTTATAGAAAACCTTTATCCAGTTTATAATTCATTCTCCAAAATTAAAAAAGGTGAGAGTTTTTTCGTTAAATGTCCAATCAACAGGCCCGCGTTTTGCAAAATCCTTTAGGAGGTAGTAGACCATGCGACCTTCTTTACGACCCTCTTCCGACCTCCTTTACGACCGTTTCACAAAGACGTCATATCCATGTCGTACGACGCGGTCCTAAATCAATGTCGTACATTGTATAAGAGGTACTTTGTTGCATAGCAACGCATAAAGCGAGACCGAACGGGCACCTGATTATCTTGTTATTCCCAAAGTATTTCATTTTTTTTTAAATTCAATGTACAGGTTATCATATCGTAAACAAAATATCAATGAATGAATTATTTTGGATTCTCTCACTAAATTCCATTGAAAATTACAAGTAAAATGTATAAATCATTTCCATTAATATTATCGGTTTTACTTATAGGTTTGAATTAAATCGCTGTCCATCATCTTGTTCATATGAAACTGCAATATTAGTCCCAGTGTATTGAATATTGTACACTATAGGAACTAAAGTACATGTTGCAGTTATGGCTACGCTTAATCTACTAACTCTTGTGTAAAGGTTTAAAATGTGGTGTGATTTTCTAAATGAGTCAATTTCTTTTGTAACTTTTAATATACAATCAAAAACTTTCAAAGAATAAAAACGTATACCCTATATCCACGTATTATATGCTATTAAACAAGGCTAAGTGTAAGTACAGAAATTGGTTTCATGAAAAAAACTATCTGAACGATACGCAAAATACATCATAGTAACGGGAATTCACTGTTCTAATGATGTAATATTTAAACCATATTTAAGCCCAGGGCCTAAAATCGAAAATGCGCAATATATTGATAAAACAAAAAGAATCGGGTTTTTAAAAAACTCTTTATCAAGAAACTGGTCTATAAATTCAAAACCGAATGACCACATGGTTCAGTTTAACTGCAACTGCATGCACATCATAGGGGTTAAGATGATCAATTTCTGTCACTAATAACTGCCCTGTAACAGGTGTCATGATGATCTGTAAACGTTATAACCTCTAGAGGCACTACTAAAGATGAAAACGTCGAGGTTCGCCATGCGTTTGAAAAGGGGCGCCACTCTAAACACCGACTATTAAATCCAAATTTAAACCCATGGGCTTAAAATACGGAAAGAAATCCTGTATTTTAGCCCATGGGTTGAATTTCGCGAGGGCCTAAATATGGGAATTCCCAGTACTGAAAGTGTTATCAGAAGGATAGGGCGATTGTGTTTATTCTTTTTCAACCGACCTTCACCTAAACAAAAATGCCTAAAATGTACAACAATGTTGACGTGTGACATCACAACCGATGACCGATTTCTTACAAAATGGTGGCTTCGCTGACAAGGGTAAACCGGATTTTGCGAGGACTCTTCCCTTGATTCAGAGATCGGTTGTACATAAATATGAGATGTAGGTAATCAGACTATCTGATTATGTGTGTATTGTTATATGTTCTCATCATTGTGAGTAAGAGAAGAAGCCAGACATGCTGATACTTACCGTTGTCGTTCTGAGTGATTTTGCGTCTGTTATGGCGTCACGCTGCACGGAAACTTTGACAATTTCTTGTGAAGTATCAAGTCGTTGGATTGTATCTATTTTTAATTTCCTGTTTTTTTGCTATGGTACTCTTTCCATGCATATTCTAAAGGTAATGAACCATTGCAAGCAATGTATAGACGGCTGGATGTCGGGAAAGTTCAGAAAATGCTACGCAGTGTAAAATCGGAATTTTTCTTTGTTTACATTTCATGTCTTCCAAGTACAGCGTTCGTTTTCACACCCAATATCTCTCGTTTCATTTTATCTAGACTGTTGGTATTGGTGGCAAAGACCAGTTGTAATTTGATTTAACAATGTATGGGGAATTCAGTGATGTATTTGTCGCAGCTGACTATGAAACATACGTGATGTAATAGGCGTCTCTATACCGGCCTTCGCGAGACATGATTTTGTAAACACTATCCAATAATGGCGGAAAGCGCACTTCGGCGTTCATGTAAGTATATTTTCGGAAACATCGCAACCGATTCAAGGTTCATCGGCAGCGTTTCAAAATTATCATCAGTTATATCATGAAAAAACTGATTTCAATGCTCATTAAAATGTTATTTTTGAAACTCAATACTCCCAGTAATTATCCGATTTTCAAATTTGAAAACATACTGTACAGCAAATAATGCTATGAATCATGATTTCATATTGTGTCAAACATGGCGACATTTACGATGAAGCCTATTTTGAAAGGTTATTTTAAGCAATTTAGCTTTGTCTGAGATGATAGTGGATGGTATCAAGAAACAGGGAATTTCCCGCAAAATACAAAACTGTGAAGTATATTTGTGTACGTGATATATTCAGAATTTTATTGGACTTCAAAGTGAGGAAGGACATACAGACCCGCGCAAAGAGTATTCGGACACATGACGTAATTTCCATAGACTTACATGTTATTTCAGTGTAGCATAAATAATTTTCATGAAGTGAGTTTAAGATAGATCTTTGTAAAGTTTGACAGGCAAATTTGAAATCATCTCTGCTCTGCGCACATAGTTTCAGTTAAACTTTCCGCCCATTATTTAACTAATGACATCACATTTATCAACTGGTTCCACAATGCCCAATCCCGTAGGCCGCTATGTTCAAGGCGTTCACGGCACTGTACGCATGTTGATTAAATTGTTGCCATTCGATAAATAAGCAACGGAAAATTAAACAGAAATTATACAATTGTAGGTAAGATGATTCCTCACAAATGTGCAAAACTTGACTTGGATCTTACCAATATTAAATTCATGAAAATTATTTATGCTACACTAAATTAACATGCAAGTCTATGGAAATCACGTCAAGTGTCCGAATACTTTTTGCACGACTCTGTATCTTAATTCCTAAATGCAAACATATGTATATGTCCCTGTGGCACCCTGGGGTTTTTAATCAAGTCCAGAGACTTGCCCAGAGCACTAGTGGTGTCGCGGAGAATTTTTGACACACAAGCTCTGGAAACTCCATGGGAGATCCACGATTTCACTGAGGAAAGCCCCTTTTACCAAATACCTCAGTGTACACAACGTAGGGAGGTCGGAATAGCATGTGAACTCCGTGTAGGTTTGTTCAGTTGGAGCTCTAACTTTCTGCACAGTTAGAAAACAACTATGCCTAGGAAATCTATATCTCGACATCATGTCAACATCATCCAGAGTGTCGAGCACGTTCGACCTGTCTCAAAATCTCTCAGGTCTTCTTTGTTAGCCTGTTTTAATCACCTGCAGTGCCATAATCGTTGACGCCATCTTTGTAGTGTTTACGACCTCCTAAAGCATTTACGACAGGTCAATCGGGGTCCTACATTTTGGGCTGTTTACGGCACAGTGTAAATATAAGAGGTCTTTGTGAAACGGGGTAAAAAAATAAGAGGTGGTCTACGACCTGCTTTACGAGGTCGTGCCGGTAAGAGGGCTTTGTGAAACGGGCCCCTGCCTTTTCAAAATCTATTAATAGTAGAAGTCCGGCCCAAATACTGTTATTTGTATGTGTCAGTATATTCAGTCAAGTCATAGATCTGTCTGGTGATATCGCCTATACATCTTCCAGACATGGAACCCTTTTGATCTTCGTTTATCAATATACCCAAAACGGATTTAATTCGTTGAGAAATTGCCGTTGAAGAATAAAGATAATAGTGATATTGGACACCATTTTTTTATAAATTGTTTTGGCTTACTCCCTTTCGGAATACATGTGATAAGTCCTTGCTTTTGTGAGACAGGAAAATATTATCATCGGCCATCCATGTAACTGCAAGTGTTAACACGTGGTTAAGGTAAATGTCGAGACTAAACACACTTGTGTTTGTACAGGAGAATATCATCACGATGTAACTTCAACTGTTGAATAAACATATTTGTTCCATATCCAGACTGAACACATTTCTGTTTGGGCAGAAGTACAGGGTATATACATAGCAAGGGCGTATGAATATGAGCAAGCATATTGTATTGCGTACAAAGCACGGGATTGACATGTTAACTTGCATCAACTAGCACTAGGGGTATGTCATGACATGGGGGCAGGTTGTTATCAATCACAAATACCACAGGGTCAAACTAGGTATATTACATGGCAATAACAGTGGCTCAGTGAAAGATCTGAATAAATGTAATGTTAGCATCTGTACAATGTGTCAGTCCATTGTGGCATTCATGATTTAATCATGGAATCAATCATACATTTACCCATCTTGTTCTAGATAGTGCGGGCAGACCTCGACCGACCACCTCAACCATGAGTAATCAGAACCACGACAGCAACCCTCCTCAACACAGTCCCCCAAATATCCAGGTTAAACCAACCACGGAAGGACACACAGAGACGGTTAACACTGCAGGAATTGTTTATGGTGGAGTTGGCAACACATATAACACGCAAGGTAATACATGCTATCACTTGTACTTGTTGACAAAGGATGCCTTTGATTTCGACACCTTCAGACACCCATTGGGGAGTTGTGTACAGAGGGAAAGAACATCCTAACACTTAACAATTGCGTAATTGTTCCTTGTAAATTCTAGACGGTGAATAACACAACAGATATTCAGATGGAATCGACAAATCATGCAACACCAAAGCAGGTCAAGTCAATATCTGTACAGTCCCTGTGCACACTTTGTTGACACATCGTAGTCTTATGATTTAGCTAAGATAAACAATGAGTTTCACCACACTTAACTTCAACATGATGTTGTTAGAGTAGCACAGTGTACTCAGGTATACACTGGGGGATCAAACAGTTAAGGTTGGTGTTTTCTTGTCAAACCTTTTTATACATTTATTGGCAATTCAATGACAAACTAGACTGGCAACATAGTACTGAAGCCTCACACATCAATGATATGCCACAGTAGCCACAAAGGGCGTAAGTGGAAAAAAAAATTGAACTTCGGTTTTATTTGTTTACAGGCGACAAGGAATGTGTGGAAAATAAGGTAAGGGGATGCATCATTTTTTCTCATCTGAAAAACAAACCATGAAGTAAAGGAATATTTACGTTAATCATAATGAAATCAAGGATGAAACAAAACCACTCCTTGCCATAAAGTCAATTAAATAACTTCTCCAAGCCCCACATAGTACAGTGGTACTTGCAGGCGTAGATCAGTTGTCTGGGCTGCAGGGCGTCGCTGCGTCCTCTCGGACCTGCATCACTTCCTGTTAAATATAGTTCAAAACGCGTAATACGAAACTCATTCATTTCTTCATCACACGCCTCGATATTATGAAGACTGATTGCACAAATCGAATACCGACATATAATATTCAACTGTGATCTTATTTATAATGAGATCCCAAATTACCTCACAACAGGTTCCGAATGAATCAACAATCATTCTTGTTTGTGTGTATGATTTAGTTTAGTTATCATCATATTTTCTCACACTGAACATTTTTCGTTCTTGTAACCCCGCGCGACCTGATCCCATGCGACCCGACCTCCTGACAGTTCCAACACCCTTTTTCTCGTTAACAGGTGCCCGGGTATACTTGAACAGTTACTCTTTGTTTATCACACTGTTATCGATATCCGTCTTTAACACTGTTCAAGATGTGAATCCTTAGGTTGGAAATAATGGAGCCATCCAATACCTTCACGGGGCGCAGTGGGCGACCTGGCTAAGGCGCCAGGCTAGTGATCCAGCGAGGTTGATGGTGCCGGGATCGAGCCCACCTGTGACCGGGTGTAAAAACCTTGGAGTCAACTTTGTGTGCAGACTCTTTCAGTGTTGTCACAACCCCTAGTGTACAGTACACAACCCTGTGCACGTAAAAGAACCCACGAATCCGTTGGTATATGACCAGATGGTGGCCACATGAATACATGCAAACACCTAGTTGCAGGTACAGCAACGTGCAGTAAACTTGGACAAAGTACTGTGACTATGTGTCCCACCCAGCTGTGAATGGGTACCTCGTTAGGATGAGAAAACCACAATAACTAGGTTTGCCTAGTGGCAGGAAGAGTTGAAAACTCCCCAGGGAGTTGAGATTGATAATACGATGTGCCGTTAAGATTGACATCCAGTGATCAAGGGAAACATACCAGCGCCTTGAGCATGCACTAGTTGTGTGGATATGTGCGCTATATAAATATACTATAATAATTTCGTACTTTCAAGATCACACAGATTCCCGAACGTTGGTTGGTTGAGAGAGCGGTCATGTGATCAAAATTTCAAGGTTCATTACTCTTGAACCCTTCTAATCGTTCATACTTGTGTAAATATCGTTCATACGTGTGTGAACGTTTTTCGCTTCGGTTTCAAGGCCCCCCAATAATCTTGCTGCAATTGGTGATGCCAACGAACCTGTTTCAAGTCACCCCAAGTTTGGCAATGTCACTACCAAACGAACATTGTTCCTTTTCACAGGAGTTTAATGTCTCGCAGTTTGCGGGTTCATCTGGCGTTTTTTTGCCCCGAGGTCTATTTAACAACTACTCAATAAATGTCACAATAAACAATCCCAAATAAATAGAATAGAACAAGATCTGCCTCCTATTCGCCACGCCGCACAACTTCGAAGTCGGTCAGTGTATTATTACCCAGTCAAACGAATCCGTCATAGTAAAACGTACAATGCCAGTTTGTTAAAATGGTATTGTTATTGCTATTGATATTTGTTTCTGTTTGATACTGTTATTGATGTTATACTTATTAAAGCAGTTTCAAACCTCATGACGAACTTTTGTTACATTTTAAAGATCGAATACTTTGGGATACATGTGTAAAAAAATCGCCTTGTATACTTGTAAACATCGCTGCAATACGTTCTCGAACAGAATGGCATTACAACATTTTACATGTATTAAAACACACTGTAAACAATGATCATCTAAAAATGGGGAAATCACGTATGTGTAAACTTCAAAGTGCGAAATTATAAGAATTGAATGTTAGTTTGTGTGTTCAAAGCGGTGTTCAAACACGAGTTTGAACACCGCATTGACATCGTTCATTTTTCAGTGCAAACACACAAACTGACATTCAATTCTTAAATAATAATCAAATACCTCATGCACAGAATATATATTGTCTCCTCACCACTCAGACACTGTTGGGTGGTGGGGTAGCCTCATGGTTAAAGCTTGTCACGCCGAAAACCCGGGTTCGATTCCCCACATGGGTACAATGTGTGAAGCTCGTTTCTGGTGTCCCCCTCCGTGATATTGCTGGAATATTGCTAAAAGCGGCGTAAAACCAAACTCACTCACTCAGACACTGTTTGTTGTCACAGTTGTCGGCAATGTCGCCATCTCTTTGCAAACGAGTCTGGCGCGTATCTCCATAATGCCTGAAGCGGTCCGCCGAGCCAAACGTCCGAAAAGAGGTCAGGCTATGGTCCGTATTCACCGCAGAAACAGACAATTCTCTCTGAAAGTATAGTGACTGTCTCATCATCTCCTAAGCTGGTATCGTCCACAGTCACAACACTGTCGATGAAAGTGGATGTGATATGAGATGCCTTCTTGATAGAGGATGTTTCCACCTTGACTACACAGAGAGCATGTGGGTACACTAGCCCCCTCTCCCACTGTCAACTCTTGTCAGATCTGTAGGAAGTGTTACACAATTGACATTGCTCGAAGGATATGAATTTTGTATTAAAGAACAAAACCATATTAGAATATCGACTGATTTCCTTCTAACCAGTCAGGTTCCACAGATTCAAGAGACTCCAGGTTAAACTTTGATACACAAGAATGTAGTAGAATCCTTAGGTCCCAAGCCTTTAACATCCGGGTTCTATTCAGACTTTCAACCCCAATGTTTCAAAATACGTTTCTTTGAGCCTGCTCCTCATTTCAAGATGGTGCCAATCAGCCTTTTGATATCGGTTCCAGGGTGTTCAACAGCGAGCCAAGACAACAATATACATATATTCATTTCCAAACCTTTGTGGATCGATCTTCAATTAGTGTTTTTATGGATCTATTTCCTGTGGAAGGTTCTTCCATTTTGAATTTCTGTAGCTTCAAGGTTTTTTTTTTTTGTGAATAACTGAGCTGATTGACTGTATCTGCATCAAAGTGGGGACAATTTCTAGGCGATGATTATTGACAAGCTCAGGCTATTTCCAGAATTACACGATTGCAATGATTGATTGACATCAATAATTTGGAGTTGATCCCACTCATAAATAGCTGGCCGTCCATGCGAGCAGCATTGGACCTCATGGAAGAAAGGATGTTGAACCCACAGATTGTTAGCAAAGGTTTCAGGTAAGATCTGCCACCTGTTACCACGACTCTGATGCTGAGGATACACTCAGCCACATCAGCTCTAGCTTAGCAAAATGCAATGAAACTTTTCAAGAAAATCAGACAGCAGAGTCACTTGGACCAAATCCTGAAATAGTTTTCAAGCATTCACATTTTCACAGCCCATACCATCGTTCACATCATCGAGGCAGTACACTGGAAGCCGACAGACAATTGAGTCCAGGCACCAATTATACCACGGATGGCTCATCAACAAGTCAAAAGACATTTTTACTTTGAATGCTTTGATCGGCACTACTGCCAGCAGTATGATCATGCACCTAGACCAAGGAGCAACGATCTAGACGAAGGGGGCAAGGAACAACCTAGAAACGTTGTGTATACAATAAAGAAGAAGTTGACATCCATAATATTTTGTCTTCTACTTGAATACCAGCTTCTATATGCCTGTCAAGAACCTCATCTAGATTCTATAAGGGTTGAATGATTACAAAGTCTCATTGAACCTCAACAAAAGGATGGGGATCTGCACATAGCAGGGTTGTAACCATGAATCAAACAAAACCTTCACTCATCCTTGCTGTAGGACACTGGGCACAAGTTCTCCAGCCATGTCAGCTGATGCTTTAGTTTGTCAGTAAAATGGACTCCATGACATCGCTCTTTACCAACGATCCAGTTGTGTTATGCCAAGGTCACATATGCCTAATTTTTCAAATGTCGCCGGCCTATGCAGGGTCATCGGTGGGATTACGTTGTGGGGGAGGTTCTTGCCGACATCTGTGTCTCACTGGTGCAGTAGTCACAAAACCAAGGATGATCAGAAGATACCCTTCTAGTCAATGACAGTATTTTAGAAAAATGGACAGATAAATACGTAAAGTGACTGACGGGCGCTGGCTGACGCCTGGATTAATATCGCCCTGTTCCCACTCTCAAGAGAAGGAGCCCGCTCAGTGCCCAGTCAATCAAAGTTGGTGTTCGACGCTCTAGTTTTGCCACCCTCTCTTCTTCCTCAAACAACGCTGTTAGAATGACATTCTGACGGTGTGGGACTTTGGCATTCTCCATACGGAGCCGATCTAATCTGGTGCCTGCTCGATGCTTGCTGTAACTATGATTGGTCACCCTCTGATTTAGTTTAATTGAACAGTCTACGAACGGCAACAACGCGAGTACTGATCGATTCCCGGCAGGCAACCGTTCTGTTATCCTCCAGTGACCATACCACACAAACACACTGAAGAAATCGTCCGATTCACTTGCGGTCTGGCATGTGCCTTTAGGGTCACTGTTGGGTTGACGGAAGATGTGCCACAGATCCGTTATCGATAAGAGTGTTGAACCATGAGTTGCCATTAGAATATAACTCTGACTTATTTTCTTCCGATTTTTCCATGATGTGTCAATGGGGTCTTTCCAATGTAGGAAAATGCTCACATATGATCGTCCAGCTCCGCGTCAGGTACCTTTCAATTTTGCCAATTTTCAGCCCGGACGGTCACTGTATACTAATCTTTCATAGTAAAAGTGGATATGTGACCTAGGCATTAAGGAAGGATAATGCCTGTCAAAGAAATTGCGTGGGCATTAGTTTGTTGACTCTCTTTACATTCAAGTATGAACCACACAGACCAGGGATTCAGAACTCAGATGTCGAGGAAGATGTCGGCATTGCTTAACAAGGTGACGTCGAAGATTTTTCAACGT